TATCCAGACTATAGAATTTGAAACGATTTCTTTTTACTGACAAAACTAGAAGAGTGAAAAACAACCCGTACAGAACAGCAAAGATGAGAAAGAAAGAAAGCTTCGTGTCATGTAAACAATGCCATATAATAAACCTTTTAATAACCTTGCTATCTCAGTCTTTACTGAGATATATCAACCAAGGTCTTCTATGATGAACTAAAACGAACTTTAAAATGCAACTGCAGAATGCAGATAAAGTCTAACAAAATATTTCAGTAACAAAGTGTTGCAATTCAGTAGCTCTTATTGCTATATGTATGCAGATAATTTGTGATGTGCCGATTATACTGAAAAGCTGAAGATCAGTGAAATCACTGAGATCAGTGGCATGAAAGATTAAAGATATACACATTCTTTTTTTCTGCAAACTTTTATTGAACAATTTGCTAAGTAAGTATCTAAACAAATTCTTTCTATAGCAACTTCGGCTAACGCTTTTTCCTAAGAGCAAAACTTTCCTTTCGATTAATTGAGGAGATGCTAAAGAGCTCAAGCTAAAAAAGAAAGATTGTCAAAATATTTATTTTCATATAAAATGATTATAAAATGAAAGACGCTTTTGTCATTCTCACCAATCCACATTTCACAGCATTTGAAAACAGCAATGTCGTGAAGCCAACTGCCACGACAATCTCTTTGAACCAAGTGATGTAGAATTTCTTTCCATTACATGTCGTCCAACCTTTCTTGCTTAATTCATATTTGACATATTGATAATGACAAGAACCATATTTGTTGGGATGATTCAGGGTTTGCAACATTTTCCTGCCTCGATGTTGCGTAATCGGTTACCACGAGAACGATAGAGACCATTTAGAAAATAGCCTTTGGGCAAACACTCCATTTGCCTTTTCTAAAATACAATATTTCTAGAAATGAGTGGATAGCCTTATTTATTGAGCATTGATGGCACACAGAAATTTTTTTTTTTTATAGCATTAGCAACCCATGACTATAGCTGTATCATATTTTCTGAGACCATAATCTAAAATGTACAAATGTAATATTCTGTGAAAAGATCCCCGAAAATTTGCGCTTATGCATTATGAGTAGAATTATTTGCATTGCTAAGTGCAATTAAATTCATTGCATAAAGAAATGACATATAAAAACGGAAAAGATGACTTTGTCTTAATATCGTCTGACTATGGGAGCTGTGAGTGTGTCTGGCAATATATAAATATCTAAAGATTATTCTTCCTTAATATTTCCCCTTTCTTTTTTTATCAGTTTTTTCTCTTTGAGAATTCTAGCTATTTGAAGACGTCGCATTATTTTTAAAAAGCTGTTAGAGTTGCTAATTTTAGTTGAGCGAACAATAACAACGAGGAAACTTCACAAAAACAAAGTCTTACTATCTTACACCCAAGAGCCTACTTATATAGATCAGTGCTCAAAATTGATTAGAAGAACAATATTGCACAAAACAATAGATATGACTAATAAAACCCATGCAACCATTAGGTATACGCACTTATTAGCTAATTGAACCGTTAAAACAATTCACGACTCCTGGCGATGCGTATTTTGCGTTTTGTACTTCTGACAGATATTCAGTCTTGAGGTGGGAGGTCAGGGCGTAGAATTTGTAAAATATTTCACAAATTACTTCTGGCTGTGCTAACTTTGAGAATTCAATGGCAAACCCCCAAAATTGTAGCTATAAACTATTTTACCCAGCTGTTCTCATGGATTGTTTCTCTAAAAAATAGGATCGATGGAGGTTAGCTAAAATTTACAACAGCCAAAACATAAAATAAAAGTAAAGATTGGAGATGATTAGATTTATGTATGAATTGCATGCATTGTTCATTTTCAAACATCATTTTTCTAAATTTCAGTAGCTACATTCATTTGTTTTCCACAACTCTGTAAATTTCTGCCATATTTTCAAAAAGACGAGAGATTTCCAGCCCGCTGAGATTTCTCTCACTGCTTGGTTCATTTTCACTAACATCATTAGCATAGCGTGCTTCATAATCTAACATATAATAACTAGCTAAATTTTTCTGGGAAAGTTAGCTACTAACCTGTTGAAAAATTCCACCAGTTACCATTTACGCATATACTTTTTGTGCAGTATATTTTGGATGAGATGTGCAGCATTTTGCATGCTCTAGACGGAAATTCTATCAAATCTTCTGGTATATCTGCTGCGATATAAGCCAGTGATAAAATTATTTTGGTACGACATTTTGACCATCCTTTTTGTTAAAGATTTCGACCAATCGGCATTAGTGCAGACAGGTAGAGCGTTGACTGAAATAAAAATGATAATTTATTTCTCTTACAAAATCAACAGTCCTAGTATACAGCGTTTTTTTATTATTATTATTACAGTATTTCAGTACACTTACAACAAGGTGATTTTTAGGCAGGTCTTACGATATGATTATTTAAGTTGAAAATAAAATTCCATTATTAACAGTGAAAGTATGATTACACAGTGAAGTTAAAAAGTTATGTCATATACTATTAAAAATAAGATAAAAATCATTAAAAAAATGGTGAAACATTTATATCTCTCAGCTAGGACAGCAACGTAAAACTTTTAAAAGAAATCAAAGTGGTTGATAGCCTTTGATCAAAATTAACTCCAACTGGGAACGAACTTTGCTTTCATTTCAATTCTGTTTCTATTTTTCCTTCCTTATTACATGAAAAACGTAGCAAACAACGTAATCATCTTTAAGACAGTCAAAATGAGTTTTGGGTTGAGGAAGGCAAATGTAACTACCCCCAAATAGGCTTGAATTCAAAGAGGGGGATTCAAAGTTAATAATCATTTTATGTTTTTATCAATTTATTGCTTAGAATTTTCTCTATATGCAACCTCTAATACTAGTAACGACGAAATAAAAAAAACTGTCGCAGCTACAAACGGTGCGTGCTCTTTGAAAGAAAAATGTTATGCGCTCTGTTTTATTTGACAAAAAGCAGTCGTTCAACGAAAAGAGTTTTGCTCATGTTCATGCATTTTTGTTATTAAAAATTTCAAAATCTAAATTCGTTCCCAGTTAGGAAACATAATTACGGCAAAAAATAAAACAAGGGAAGGTGAGACAGATGGAAAAATTTACAAAACACGCTTACCATCACAATTCTTTCCAGTAAAATCAGATGTACATTTACATTGATGAGAAGATCCAACATTTGTACAAGTACCACCATTCTTACATGGATTTTTAGTACAAGCATCAATATCTAAATAGAAAAACCGTGTGTATATTAAGCCATGTTTGAACAAACTCCATTAACGTCGTGTAATAAAATGTATTGTGCGTGAGCCCATGACTCCGCAGAGATTAATCCGACCTGGTTACAAAAGGAAAAATACAAAGTAAAGGAGATATGAAATTGTACAAATACACTCACATTGGCAAGTCTTTCCTCTGAAACCAAATTTACATTCACATTGATAAGAAGATCCATTCGTTTTACAAACACCGTCATTTTTACATGGTTGTTTTGCACATGGATTCATAACTACGTAAAAAATATTATACAAAACTTTGAGACGAAATGCTTTAAAAACTGTCGTTTTATCATAACTGATAGTCATGTGTCATGATCCTTTTTAATATCATAATCCGTGTTCAAAATATTTTAATGAAATACTATATGTGCCAATTACAGTGACTTTAAAACCAAGTTCCATTTTTTATAATTATTATATTATAATAAATAGAGATCCTTATTTGACTATTTTATACGCAGACAAAGTGTTTTTGAACAAATCACTAAAAAAAATTCAAGTTTTAAGCAAACCTTCGCACGTTTTGCCTTCAAAACCATAATCACATTCGCACGAAAATGTACTTCCGTTGTTTGTACAAATACCGTTATTTTTACAAGGACGCGCGAGTCACACGGTGTTGGTACTGGAACTGCAAAGCAAAATTATTACATTAGGGCAAAAGTATTTTTCTTATATTTAATAAAAACATGCGTAAACTTAGCAATTGTCTGCAATGACGTTTTTAATCGTGAAAACATTTACAAACAGAGTAATCGAAACTGTTTCCATATTAAGCAGTAAAAGACTGAACCCGAGTTTCTAATTGATCATGCATACTTAGAAAAAAAACAACTTATTTTGTAATTTGATAATTTTATAGTTTTGACCTTTGAATAAAGTAAATTCATGCATATTAGTGATGACCAATATTTCATTTTTGAAAGTCATCTTTACAAAGATGACAACGATTCATGAATAACAAACCTTCACATGTTTTTCCTTTATATTCTTTGGTACAAGTACAAATGAAACTATTCCCATTCTCGTTACAAGCACCGTCATTTTTACAAGGGAAAGACTCACAAGGACCTATAAAGGTATATAAATATTTCATAGCGTTATTTAGAAAGATTTCGCACAAGCATTTAGTAAGAAAAAGAGTTGAGATGTGTTTAACAAACTTTATCCACATGTAAAAGCTAAATAGTCCAACTACAATATCCACATGTAAAAGCTAAATAGTCCAACAGCTCATTGTTATAATTTGTTATACATTGCTACACTTTGAAAAACATATACAATAACTGAATTATTTACATCAAATTTTACAACAAATGTATACCTTTAGACAATGCATTTTGCGTTTGCAATGCTTGAAATGTTAAGTTTTAAAAAGCTAATGTTATTCTTACCATTAGTGGAGCATTTTCGATCTTTGACACAAGCCATAGCTCCCATATTACACGTACTGAAGAAAAATAAAAATAGATATAATACAGTGATGTAACATTCTTATCAAAATAAAAAATATCTACCATGTTTTACATCGTCCAACTTTGACATTTTCGCAGCTTTATAATACTTTCCTTCAAAGAAACATGGGCATTTCTTCACAGGAACACAATGATTCTTGTCATCCAAGTAAGATCCTTTGGGACAATAACAACCGGGAATGCAGGTTTCACTGCAGTTTAGACCACGTGATATATCACGACATGTTTTAACAAGCAGATCCACATTCTGTGAAAATTTCTTCTTTGCTGCTGCATGTTTGTTCTGCATTGAAAAAACAAAACATATTGATTTATGATTTATGACTGATTGATTGATTTTTAAAAAGCTAAATTGATGCTTTGTATCATAATAAGAAAAATAAAGAAGAAAAAAATGCAAGTTTATTGAGTTATCCTTACCACATTCTTTGAGTTTTGGATACAAATAAGTTCCATTGAATCTCCAGTCAAGAACACCACCATATTCAACACAAAGTTTGCTGTAAGCAGCAAAAGCGTTACAAACACATTTCATTGGATCGATGCAACGATATGCGTCATATTTGCAATTACTGATCAAATTTTCCGCGCTACTAAATCGATTACATGCACGGTAGAACGGAGAGCTAGTATCGCTCATCAAGTGACATTTATTCATCGCTGCTTTCTTTTTGGAATCAGGAATACATACTGCTGGTGGTGGAGCACATTTTCTCCTGTAGTGAATGTCGTCATTTTTATCACCATTGTTGTTGCCACATAGAGATGTGTTGCATAACTTTCCCTTGTATTTACCAGAAACTGTGACCTTTACATTCATCCAAAAGTTCCAACTCACTGATACTCCGATGTGAGTTTTAACAATCAGCGAACTCCTACTGGGATTGGTGATTTCGAATCCTTAAATAAAGACATTAATATTTAAAGCATTAAAAAATAAACCAATGTTTTTTATCCATTCCGTTCTACTCATAAGCTCCATCATGAGCATTAATTCACTCAGCGTCAAGACGTATGAACAAATACGAATAAAATAACGTTAAAACTCATACCGGGACGGATTATTGGGAACTTTGACAGCCTAACCCTATTTACAACTGCTGTACCACGCTGACGTGTCATCAAAATTGAGTTTCCAGCTATAATGATGCTGACATATTCTGTACAGGTAGCACTCTTTCCACAAATGACGTTTTTAGTACGGACTTCAAAAAGTTTGTCTTTGCTACAGTCTTTTGCAAACACGTATTCACAGTCTCCCATGAAATCGAATCTTTTGCCATCAAATGAGGTGTAATGAGGATCACCAGAAGCATAACATGACGCTAAGTAAAGGGAAAAAGATCATCTTTTTGAAAAAAAAAAACTCTGATCTCTTCTAAAGTAAAAAATAAATTGGTATGATGGATAAATTGTGGTGGAATGAGTATTGTTTTATTCCGATTAAATTTCATTCAAATGACAAAATTCGCATGTTTCCACATTTTGGAGCCTGGCTTTAATTTGTCAAAACTACCCTGTGTATCTATAGTTTATTTCATGTGTAATTATATCTAACTCCGTAAAATTTTAAATTGGTATTGATTGATTGATTGAGTTGATTGGTTCAGCTAAGATTGGTTTGCACAGTCTAATGCAAAGACGACCAATGACTTATCTTCGCACACATATTAATGTGTTTATTTTATAAATTTCAGCAGCATCAACAAATAACAAAATAGACAATAGAGCGAAACAAAATTGATTTATTACATCAATGGAACGATCCAAATGATAACTTTAAAATGAGTGCTGCTTAGATCTGATTCATGGTAACCAATGTTAAGAAAATAATTTGAACTAACAGATTCACTTGAAGCTATTGAAATCAGATAAGAAGGAAATCACTTTTTTCTTTATACTTACTTTCAGAATGTTCACAGTTGTTACCGCCAAACTTAGGCTTGCATTTACAGGTGTAACTGTTGCCAAATACGTTGCATTGTCCACCATTTTTGCATGGATTTGGCTTGCAAGGAGTTGGAAGCTCTTAAAAAAGCATAATAATATACTTCAGAACTTTTAATCACTAGTAAAAATAATAGTAACATAGAACTAACGTTCTGAAGAATTTTTTTTCGTGTAAATAAAGTAAACCTACTAGATTAAAAAACATTCATAATTATTGTACTAAAGTCCTTGCTTTCAGTTTCACATAATACTATGGTATATCTTCATTTTAAGCTATATGAGCTGTGCATCGCATGTTTGCATATTGTTTTCAATATTTATTGACTTGTGGTCAGAACTCTTGAGATAAAGCAACTTTTATTCAAAGTCTCATAACACGTCATGACTTCAAATATTTACCCTTTTCACAGTGAAATCCAACGAAGTTAGGAGGACAGTTACATTTGTATGAATTGCCTTCAAAAAGACATTGGGCACCATTTTTGCAAGGTGAATGATCACAAACTCCAACTAAAATGAAAAATATTTTTGGAAGAAAAGCAAATCAATTGATTCGTTTAATCCCAAGCATGATGGTGGACTTAATTTTCCTAAATATCATGAACAGCAGTAGTGGAAGTCTATCAAAGTATTGTTGAATTTTTTTTCAAAAATAAAACTGATTTTTTAAAAAAATTTAGAATTCGAACCACATACTTTCATGGAAAAAGTTAATCATTAATATACTTCAGCATAAGTATGCTGTTAACAATCCACAATATTTAGCACTGACGTTTCGTGATCACCTCAAAAACTTTAGCACTTTGAAATCTTTGCAAGATCAAGCAAATACAAAACGAGCATAACACTTAATGTTTGATTACGTAGTAATGGCAGTATAAGATCTTTCATACACATGTCAGAGCATTTTTGTTATATATTATAAAAAAAGAAGTCATAAATGTGCAAACCTTCACAGGTTTTGCCTTTAAAACCATCAGCACATTTACACGAGAATGTATATCCTTTTTTCGTACATATACCCTTGTTTTTACAAGGATTTGGCTGGCACGGTTTTATCTCTATAAAAAGATTATCAGGTTAGGGCAAATAATTATAGTCGAGAAGAAAGCCGCCTTAATTGTGATAAATCTCTAATATGCCTACTTTTTTGAAGAGATTACAAAAAAATTTGTAGCTCTAGACCTCTGCTTTCATCTCACAAGAGGTGCCCATGCACTTTAGCCAACTGCCTTAAGTTTGTGATGAAGAGAAAAATTACAGTTAAGTGTACAGCTATCAAAGAGTTTGATCCTTAATTATCACAGCCAGGAACGAAAGATGTACTAAATGAAACCCTGATTTTCTAAGACAATTATTTAGACCAACATGCCGCTATTTGCTTCAAATGATGATATAATAACGAGACAAACAAATTAACGTAACACAGTAACTAAACTCCTACTATCTATATAATCATTATCCCATTCACGTTTGTTATTGATGGCGAAAAATGGGTTGGCTTTGCTACTGCTAACGTGGCTTAGATCTAATTACGCTATCACATGCTTCATAAAATCAGGAAAATTAATAGAAATCAAAATCTTGTAAAACTTTGCACATTAAGTAAAATTAGCTTAACAGTTTGATAGAAAACCACTAAAAATCTGGTTACATCGTGCACAAGTTATATATAAAATATTATTGGATCATATTTATAATGCTTTTAAAACTTATTAAAATTTATTTTACTTTAAAATTTCATTAAAACATTGTTTTCTTCAGGTTTCTTGCCTTTACTATTTTTAACCTTTTGCAAACCAGGGCAATTCAATTTACGTCATATCTGTATTGGTCGGTGTGAAAATGCATTGTATCACTTGCCTACTTGATTTTTATTTGAAAAGCTTAATCACATAGAAATTTGCGCAAATTTCAACAATTTTAGGCAGGAAACGTTTCAAACTGTAATAATTATGGTTAGATGACGAGTTTAACTTTGGATGACAATTGTCAAATGAAAGAGAACATTCATCAACACTTATAACAACAATAAATATATTTACAATACGTAGACTGTTTCAAATCAATGGAGTTTTGCCAAAAGATGACTTTAAAACACCAGCAATGCCATTGTAATAATTCAATGCAAATTAAACTTGGCTTGTGATTAACTTTCACAATTCGCCTTTTGTTGCGATTCTATCAAATGAATAGACCATTGTGGAAGGCTGACTTTAAAATACTAACCTTTGCAAAGAATTCTATTTCCCGAATAACCAATATTACATTTACATGAAAATGATCCTATTTTATTGGTACAGGTTGCTTTCTTGTGACAGTTATGGGTAGACAGGGTACATTCATTGATATCTTTAAAGAAATACACAAACAGTTAGTTTTACTATCCTGCTTATTAATCGAGAAAAAAGATCAGATAGTATTATACTTTTATTAAAATCGGTAAAAATCTTTGCATTTCCTTAACGTCACCATTTTCCCTCACATAAACGTTCACTATCACAGCCCTGAATTGAAATATTTGAGCTGCAATATTTACTTTAACACTAAATCTTCTCTTGAAAATTTTATTATGCAATTTTGAAATTTTTTAGAGTGTTCAAAACTGCTATCACTAAACTCAGGGGTCTAAGGAGAACGCAAGTTTTAGATGAAGTCATGACTTTGAACCATCGAACTATAAAATAATTGAAATGTTATTTTGGCTGCCATCTTTGAAACCACTCATGATTGCCTCCATTGATAACCGAGTGACAAAAATTGACTTTTTTAACTCTGTGATTGATCTTAAAATATAGCGCCTTTATAAGGCTGTTTTAAGCTCGATATCTGGTACAAACATTGAATTGTTATATTTACCTTGTTCCTTGCACAAGGATAGGTTTAAGATGTTTTGCATGCTAAAAATCACTCTGTGATTTTCACATTTTAAAGTCAAATAACTTTGATATGGAACTGGTACTAGAGATGATTTGTATCTGAATGACGCAGATCATATACAGCTTTCCATTACATTATGCACTTTCCTAATGAATGGAAAATTGCAAGACTAATTCCTTTATTTGCAAATGGGCAAAAGAATTTGCCTACCAACTGAGACCAATCTCTGTTTTGCCATCAATCAGCAAAATTAAGGAAAGGATTTTATACAACCAACTTTATGATTATTTGAATAAATTTCACCTATTAAGTGACTCTCAGTTTGGCTTCGAAAACATCACTCAACAGCTACGCCTTACTGGACTGTACCAATAGCTGGTATATGAATATTGACAAATCTATTCAAGTGGTATTTGGTCATAAAACTTCGAAGGTGCTGTACAGAAATTTTGAGAATTCTCCTGAGAAATTTTGAATTTACAGAGCCTGCAAGAAATGCCATTTTCGTTTTAAAGAATACAAAATGTGAATTTGTGGGCATCGATTTTTGCGTAAAAACAACAATACATTTGCTTACGTTTTTCAAAAAATAAATAAATGAAGTGAACAATACTTGAATGTTTTGCCTTGCAAATATTTGGCTCATTGTCTCTTAAATGCCTTGAAGCTCATTGCATTAATCTAGGAACGTAAAATTTATTTTACAATAATGCTATTCAAAACAAGATATAGTCTTTAAAATTTCTGCAAAGGTTGTCAGGCGCCCATTTATAAATTCCCCATTCAAACCTCTATGTAATGAGTTTAGTTAGAAGTTAGAAATTTGGTACTACAAGTGACAGTTCATAGATATAGAAAGCTCAGACTTTAAACCATAGCATTTATTGCAACGATTTCCACATCGTGCACAGAGATGCTTGAATTCACCTTTTTGAGAAAAACTCAAAATTTTTTTCTGCCAGAACAAAGCAAAATTATCAGAGTGCAAATTGCAGTTAAGACAAACAATAAATATTTCTTAGGCATTTCACTAGACTATTATCTCCTGAAATTATATGCAAGGTGTGCTATATAATCACTAGTATATGTATTTGCAAATACAAATAAGAATGTAATAACATGTCTTTAATTATATAATTCCATGAATGTTAAAATTGGTTCATGTGTCATGCTTACTGGTAATAAATATCTTTTCATATGATCAAAGCTTGTTTTAAATGTAAATCAAAATTAATTTGAATTTAGAAATTATAATGATCATCAGAAAATTACCTAGTGATCATGAAAATACTGCTTTTTGCCAAATTTCAAGGTTTATCTGCATACATAGAAGACATTTTTACTTTAGATCAGCACATTGACATCTACACATGAGGTGTTCAGTTAGAAATTTGACAATATGTGACATGGACGACATTCCATGTATGTAAAATACTCAGGTTTAATACATTTCAGTCAAATTGTCAAAATAAAAGCTTCATGGATCAGAAGACTCAAAATCCCAAGAGTTATAGTAAACGTTCTCTTGTAATCAATGTTAGTTTTCTCCAAATCTTAAACATATGTAGTATAACTGTCAATGATTGAATGATCAATGATCATAATCAAAAAAACCCCAAACATTTGTTTATGATAAAGTAAATTTGGCGCCTTATGGCTACAGATTTTTGTCCATTGAAATATATTTGCAGATGTAGTTCATTCTGCCGATATAACGGCCACGTTATCAAGCACTAAAGAAATCATAGCTAAAGTCCTTCAAATCCAACAACAATTTTAGAAGCATCGATCTGCTTACCATACGCCATATTGACATAAATCGCATCACACACTCGCATAATTGACTTTGATATATTGCATTCATGCATACGCTGGTGTCATGCTTACGATTTGGATGTAAATTTCCTGCTGATAAAACTCAAAACAATGTGGCTTTCTTTTTGAACATCAATGACTGAAATGTCGCTCGCGAGATCGTCTTTGCCAAGCATTTAAAATTTATCCATAGGGTACCCACCCCTCATGAAAAATTCACATTTTGGACAGCAGCATTCATGTCAATATATGAATTTGTAAAAGATTTCCATAAATTCCATCTGATTGTAGTTTAGTTTCTGCCATGCTTATAAAAATTACTATAAAACGATCAAACATTCAACTCAGACAGTGAGCTTGACATGTTGAGTTCGTTTGGCGGCTATCAGTCAAAATCGTCAAACCAATCACAATAAAGCAAAAATTCAAATGAACCAATTGTAAGATAGCAGATTCATTCATATACGTCCGCCACCCTTATTATCAGTCGAGACCATTCCAGACTGTCACTGATCTACCATTTTTCAGTAATAAAATAAGCGTTTTTGACGTTCATAGACTCCTTTATCCGTCGACGAGAAGCCACCCCGCTTATCGATCGATTTATTCCAGGTCAATTAAAGTCCAACGGATCACAGTTTACCAACAGGATATTCATTGGATTAGTCATTAGTTTCAATAATAAATAAAGCTGGATTTTTATCACGAAGTAATGCATTAAGAAAATAAGAATAGTGTGAATTTTTAATTAATATGAATAGGTAATTTTGAATTCAAGCATCAGTCGCGCTATCGACGATTTTGAAGCATACTCTAGATCCGCCCTGGAGTATATGAATATTGACAAAATTATTCCAACCTAGTGGTATCCTATTGACTTAAAACTTTTGGTACTGTTAGTCATGAAATATTATCAAGCAAGCTTGAACACTATGGCATAAAGAAGACGCTTTGTATTTAATAGCATGTTACTTGACCAACCGTACTCAGTTATATCGAATAAAATGGAACAATTTCATCTGAATAGTTGGTCCAAGTGTGGTGTACCACAAGGTTCTATTCTAGGACAACTACTCTTTTTGTGCCATTAGCCAGTCTACCTCAATGCTTACAAAAAGCAAGAACCCAGATTGTTTTGCAATGATACAAATTTAACAGCAACGAAACTCCTTCACTCAAGTTGAAGCTGCAATGAATTTCAATTTGGAATGCCTAAGAAAGGTGATTGATTGCTAATATAAACTAAGCCTAAATGTTGCAAAGACTGAATCCCATGTTGATTGGCTCTAAACAAATTATCAAAAGTATGGCAAATCAACAGCAAACATTGCGATAGAAAACAAAACAATAAAACAAGTTTGATTCTAAGTCTCTTGGGCATCGATCAGCAGTTGTCGTGGAAGAAAAATGCTGACAATATTTGTAAGATGATTGCCTCAGGGATATCAGCTCTTCGTCGGGCTAAGACTGCCATACAAAGACACTCTTCTTTCATTTACAACGCTTAACCATCGCTTACTTTGCCTGCTGTGAAGTTTGGGACGTTTTCAATGCGAAAACTCAATTCAAACGCTTACAAAACTTCAAAATCAGTACAGAATCATCGCAAACATGAGTAATGTTGATCACGAAATTGCTTTGAGGCTTTAGAGTGAGTCTCTTGATAAAGGCAAAAAGTAAAACAAAACTCATGTTCAAATTCAACAACATGGGTCCAAAATCACTTACTAGTTTATTCAGTTTCAAAAGCGGAATCAACTGATTATCAACAAATGGTTTTGCTTATCTCAGCCACAGGCAATAGCATGAAAAGCCTCTCGCATTTAATGGAAGCCACAAGTCTGGAACTCTCATTGCCAAATGAACTTAAAAAATTAGTTCTCTAGCGACCATTCAAAAGAAAAATCCTTCCCCTTTCCCAAGTCAAATTATGTACTCAACTAATTGTAAATGGCTTTCTAACCTAGCTGCTTCATTTTAATGTACATTTTGGTGCTTGTGTATCATAAATGTAATAGTTCACTATTCTATTGCAATTTTCATTTTGCACACGTTCATGGAAATCAGCTTTGCCTGGCGGTAAGTGTCTATCTATCTATCTATCAACAGTCCACGTAGAGGATACACGCGAAGCCTTTTAAATCTTAACCTAATTAGCCACTGATCTTAAGCATGTATATTGTGAGTTGGCAATTGTTGTACTGTTCACTGGGTTCGACGCCATATTGGAATGACCCATGAAATTCGTATTTCCCGCTACAGAATTCTCTCTAGGGGACTGGGTACGTCTTAAAATCAAGTAACTTTGCCTGTTGCGCTAGTGATAGTGTGTTTATTATCATTTATCGTGTCGTTTTCATCGTAACGACCAAGCGGATAACGACAGTGTGTCTCGGAAAGCTACTCCTCATCAATTTAGAGCAGCAGCAATGGCTAACTCCTTGGTCGCATGCCATTTAATTTATTATTAGACCAGACTTCCCATAGCTTCAATAACGAAAAGGAAAATATAAAATAATTCACAACGTTGGTAGAAACTGTGCAACAGTTAGCAGATGCACAGATCCATAATCGGATAAAACATACAGCAAAGTAGCAGTAAGTGAGACCAAAGATTATAAAAAAAAGACGATAAATGGGTAATTAACAATGTAAAG